CTTTTGTGTTCAACAGAAGACAGAAACTCATACCGGTTTGGAGCAACTTGAGGGTGAGTAAATGATGACAAAAGTTTCATTTTTGGGTGAACTATCCCTTTGAGAAAAATCACACAAGCAAGAGTACTGTGAAGGTGTCTTTAAATAGCTGAGTTAAGGCTGCTTGTGCCTGCTCAAAATACTCTGTATAGCATTGCAGCATTAAACAGTATGTAAAGACACATAAAAGCTACTTTCAGAAGTGCTTCTGTGCCATCTTTGTAATGTGAATTTTGACTCTAAATCAGGTATGAGACCACAGAAAACCACAGCCTGCCTTATCTGTTGGGTCATTTTTAACCCAACTATTTTAAGTGAGTACCTTTTGGATTTTGGCCTTTCCGATCACACCAAGATGGCGTTTTTGTCCTGCGAAAACAAAGCTTCTTGAAGAGATCCTCTTCCAAGTGGATACATTTAAAAAATGTTATAGTATGGACTGGGAAAGTGGAGTTAATTTAAAGGCATATTTAGTCATGTGACACATATTGCTCTGGTAGATACAGTGATTGAGTGCGACCTGGACGCACCAATAAGTGGTGAGATATTTTGCTAATAAAATGATTGTGCCAGAAGAAGGCATGAGAACTTTAAGTAAGAAGAACTTTAAGAAGTTTAAGTCTGGTCACTTTGCATCATCTTAGTGAGCTTTTATTATGTTTTACGCATGCGCAGTATGATGATTTAGCATTTTCCTACATTTCAGTGTGAACGAGAAACTTTTGGAAAGCGTGTGGATGGAGAGCTTTTCAAAATGAAAATGCTGTTTTCAAATGTATCCGGATTAATGTAGACGTAGTCTGATAAAATGCTCAGCATGTCATCCTGAGATGATCTGAATCGTTTGATAATGTTGACGTAAGGTCCTTGCATAACATCAAGCAACACCACTTACATTTGACTAATGTGGACACGCATGCATGCTTAATATTTCAGAGTGCTTAGACCAGGGGTGGCAAACTCCGTTCCTGGGGGGCCACAGCCCTGCAGATTTTAGTTACGACTCTAATTAAACACACCTGAACCAGTTAATCAAGGTCTTCATGATTACAACTGAAGGTAGGTGTGTTGGAGCAACTTGGAGCCAAACTCTACAGGACTTTGGCTCTCCACGAGTTGAGTTTGACACCCCTGGTCTAGACAGACCAGCCTGGCTTAGTAGGATAATTGTCTGTTTTTGTTTTTTTCCTACAGATCTAGTCCAGTGGAAGGCCCTCAGCCACCGAAGACAGAAGGTACACCAACAAAAACAGTAATTACACTAAAAAAATACAGTTATATTTTTAGTGAACGCTTGATAAATTTGACCTTTTTTATTTTAGTTCCACCTCAGACAGTGTAAAGCAGATGGTGCGACTGGGCGGGCCCATTTCAGTGAGAGGAAATGCTCAGAAGCACAAAGTTACTTCTAGGAATGTGGAGGAGAGTCGAACCTGCTTGACCTTTTTTTGTAACCTCAGCCTAAATGCTGATCTATTGCTGTATTTTTAGGTCTCTCAGGAGCACATGTGCTACATTATATCACTTTTGTGTTCATAGAGTGTGAACGACACCATTAATGATGCACCTCTTATTTTACTCATGCATGAATAATTTGCTTTAAATGTTGTTGTTATTATAGGCTTAGATCTAAAAGGGCATTCATGGAAATATTTATGGAAGCAAACAGGAATAATGATTAGAAAACTAGCAGACTGAATGAATTACATTGGAGAGCTCATGTTTCATGTAATAGATTTCATTCATTTAGACAGATGATGATGTTGATATTTTCACTCATTTATGTTTTAATGAAGAGAACATTGTTTGAATAAATATAGAATAAATAGCTCTCCAGCATGGAAATATACTCAGTCCAGTGTGTCTCCCTGTAACTTGTGCATGCCAGGTTTCAACAAAATGTAAGACAATTTTCTAGTTCTTTTAGTCTTGTAGTATACACTGTAAAAAATGACCGTGAATTTAATGGTAAAAGACTGTAAAAATGCTACAGTAAAAACCTGTTAAATGGTTAACGGTAAATTCCCCTACTATATACGGTGAAAAACTGTATTGGACATTACATGTATTGGACATTCATTTTACGGTAGTATATCGTTTTTGGAAGTGAAAAAGACCGTATAATTTACAGTGAATAACTGTAAATTGACATTCCCAGAATTCCCTGCGTTATATTTCAAATTTGATGTTTTTTTGTTGAAATAACTATGTTTCTTCTTAGTTTTTTCTTATCAGTTTTGTATATTAGGGTTGTGTGTTACACCTAATGTTGTTAAATTAATGTTTGTTGCATTATTTCAGTTTCATGTGTGTTACCATGATGGTGTTTGGTGTTTGTGTGAATGACACTGTGCACCTTCTATATATGTTATTATTTAAAAGCTGCTTGTGATGGGCTTTGGTTCATCATGTGACTTTCTCATCACCACCTGCATTTGGTGGTTATCAGTGTATTACAAAGGTACAAAACAGATTTCAGTACTTCAATAGGTTGGTATATTAACATTATATCAGTTAATGAAATTACGGTATTTAACTGTAAATTGTACGGATTTTTTTTTACAGTGTATATTTCTTTATTATTTTAGAATTTTAGGTTATTTGAAATACTATTGAATGTGTTTCACAATTATTTGCGTATCATATTTCAGTGGAAGTTTAACTTATTACCATTAACAATTTTGACATAAGCCATAAGATAAACTTAAACGCATAGCCTTTTTCAAATCTTGTTTACAAATTGTAAAGTCGTTTCTTGGATCTGTGAAGTCAGACGTCATTGCAACAGCACATTATTGAGGGCTTAGAAACCAGGAAAGTCTTGCCTTAAAGAACTAATGGTGCAATCAAACAGTGTTACAAACTAACTAGTGGTTACTAAGCCAACTTAACATCTGAATTTAAGTCAAGCCTCATGAGTGGCTGGTGTAACCCTTCTTTGGAGTTACACATGATCTTATATCCATTGTAACAGCGTGAATATTTGAATACTGTATTCCAGTAAACAAAGTACTTTAGAAAGTAATACTTTAGTGCCCAGCTAAGTGTTACTAAAAGGCAAATTACTTAATTGCAACAATGTATTTATGTCTCGTATTAATAAATAAGAAACCATCCATATAACTTTCAGAGAATAATGAACCACTGCACATCTATGTGATCAGCATGTTTTTGGGGGAATGCTTATGAATTCTTTACAAGTCATCATTATACTGAAGAAGTTTTTTTATTATTATTCTTATTTTTTCTCCGAAGTGAAGTAGTTGAGTATGACTAAACACTCACAGCAGTCATAATAAAGAGCTGAAAAGGGTTACTATATGAAAAGGCATTTTTATTATTCATCCAAATGTTAGTCATGTAAAGACATTTGGCTCAATAAAAGATCCTGAGTTACAGAGGTTTATTCGTATTTAATTTGGCTTGGTCAGTTGACATAATGCAAAACGCACAAACACATTAATAAAACATTAATGATTTGCAGAAATACATGAATAATTATACAAATGTTGCTTATTAAAGATGACACATCATGAACAATATTTAAAAAAAAACATTGTAAATACAATCAAGCAAATTTTAATGCTACTTTATATACTCACAGAATTTGGTTTTGTCAGATGGTTTCATTCATTGAGTGTTTGAGATATATACTAAAACAATGAGCAAAGTTTCATAAATGAATTCTACAGAAAGCAGTTTGCGCTTTGTTTTCAAATGAATTCTCATAAATCCACAGACCTCTCTTTGTTTTACAAGAAAGTGACATGAGCGTGTGTTTTCCCTCATTTGAATTTCCAGAGGGACTCTGTACTTCAACCAGGCGAATCATGCATATCATTGACTCAACAACAACAACATCCTCCAACATTTGAAATCTTGATACAAGATGGACACTATCCCCACATAGAAAAATCTTTCCTTTCATACTATTCCACTGAAATAACATTGTTAAATCATATTAATAATTCTGACATCTTGATTCTGGCAGGTCTCGATGACAAAACTACCTTCTCACCTCAGAACCCCCTGACATTTGATTTCACCCCCTCATATATGACTCACCAAAATAACACATTCACATACATGATGGCTGGATGACACATCTCCTGTAAGGACAACTATGATATCAAGTGTGCTGCTGAGAAAAGTGTATTACATAGAGAACTGATGTCATTCATATAAAACAATGAAATAAATAACCGATCTTTCCCCCTGAGTGAAAGTAACATGAACATGAGCACAGAGAAAATATGCAACATCTACCAACCAGAAGCTATATAAATACATATCAAAACAATTAAAGAATATCCCACTGATACAGTGAATTAAAAAAAAAAAAGAGCTCAGCTGCTCTCGTAAGCAAACCAATATGGTTTATAATTGAAGGTGGAAACTCGACTGGTACTGACAGTCCTCATGACAATTTCATTGAAATCACTATTCATGAACATATTAAAATTTGTTTTCATCTTTAAATAAACTGGGAAGCAGCTTTATGGTACAGAACCAATGAATGATCCTTCAAAAAATATACTGTCATACTAAAAATTATGCGATGTGTGAAAATCCTCATAAAAGGATACTGATGATAAACCCATTTTTCTCCAGAGATGAAAGTTTTTAACAGTTCTTTGAATAGTTTTTGTCCACATCTTGATGGTGAACAGTTAACAAAATGATAAAGATGAATGTTTCAAGCGCATACTGTTATTTGATCCAGATGACTGCATCTCTATTGGAGAAAGTGGGATACGCTGGGACTAAAAATCAGTCCTAGTCACTCTTGGTCCTGTAAGGATGTAAAACGCCGCCTAGAGGAGGCACTTTTCTTCTTCAAGATGAGCTTGAGCTGAGGGAGAGAGAGTGAGCGAGGGAAAATGGTGTGTCAGCTACTGTGTAATCTGTTCTTTTCTTTCCATGCTGTTAAAAAGATGGTAGAAACTGTACAAGAGAATGTTTTCGTATGGTGCTTTACACACAAGTCCTTCACACATCAGGCAGACTGGTTGTTAATAAAGAAAAGCCCCTCACTTTCTCTCCTGTGTCTCCGCTCTGCAGCAAATGAGCGGGCTGGTCGTTCTCCAGGTTGCGGATGCTGGGATCAGCACCACGACTCAGCAGCAGCCGGATCAGTTCCTCCTGAAAGGGGCTTCCATGCAGCCCTGCGGCCATGTGCAGGGCAGTGTGTCCGTGAGCCTGAGAGGAGACAGACATTTGTCGAAAATCATGTCCACACTGTTGTCTGTTTTTAAGTAATATGTCCTAGAGTTCATTAGAGGATGGGATAAATGTAGTGATGATTACATCACATTATACAGCGGTTAGTTCCAGTCCGCTCGTCCATGTGTCTTGTCTGTGTTTGCGTGTTTCAGACAGGCTGTTAGTCTGTATATTAGCCGTGCCTATTTTTCAGTGACTCTTTCTGCAGGTTACACAGTAGGTGATGACAAGTGACTTAATGAATGACTTCGTTCAAACACAAAGATTATTTTTTCACAAAGAACGAAACAAGTGACTGTCTTTATGATTGAGTCAATTAATCGTTCAATCAACTGAATTCAAAAACACAAATTCATTGAAAATTAATTCATTATTTATGAGTACGTCACTGGGTTGTTCACTCAACTGAAAACTCTGATTCATTCAGGAACGAAATAAGGGAGTCACTGAACTGTTCACTCAACCAATATGTTCAAAAACACTGATACATTCTGAAATGTAACAGATGACTGTATTGATGAGTAAATCATCGGGCTGTTCACTCAACCAATTCGTAAAAACACTCTGATTCATTCTGGAATTAAACAAGTGCTTGTCTTTATAAGTGAATCATTCATTGAATCATTCACTCAACCGATTGGTTCAAAAACACTGGTTGATAACCAAAACAGATTTATGAGTGAATCAAAAACTCAGGTTTGTTCAGGAATGAAAACAGGTGACTGTCCTTGTAAGTGAGTCATGCTGGGAGCCATTGATTCATTTAATTAACAGATTTGTTTATTCACCGAGTAATAAAATGTTGTTACTGCGTGATGCTTGACTGGAGACATGCAGCAGTTAAATTAGCTTTGTCTTCATTTGAAACTTTACTATTGTATCTAAAATGTAAAGTCACTCAACAATAACTTTTTGTTCACACCCACAATAGTGCTGTTGGTCAAAATTTCACCACAGCTGTAATTACCTGTGGCACGAGGCAAGTGTGATATTACTTGAGTATGATTTTGTATTTATATGAAAGTCAATATAATGTCGTCATCATGTGTCTCTCACTTTCATGTTGATGAACGCCTGCATATTGGAGAGTTGGAGGCTGAGGAGGAAGCGCACAAGATGGATATTCCCCTCCTTCACTGCCAGGTGAAGAACTGTCTTGTTGCTTTTGATTTCCTGAAAAAGACAGAGGTATACTAGTCAACAAAGTGAAACTGAAGCAACATCAAAGTTAGTGTGGCATGAATGAGGTTTCCTCCTTGTGCGGCAGTCTCAAAATGAAACCGCTCTGTATGGAACAATGACAAAATCAGTTGTTTATCTGTCTGTCTGAAAGGAACATTTGGGAAATACATCTTTCCTATTCGACGGAAATGTCTAACATAATTTGGAAATGTCAGTATCTGTGATTTGTGTGCTACTTGGGGTCAGTAAGATATTAAAGGGGTCATATGATGCGATTTCAAGTTTTCCTTTCTCTTTGGAGTGTTACAAGCTGATTGTGCATAGATAAGATCCCTGAAGTTGCAAAGAGTAAAGTCTCAAAACCAAAGAGATATTCTTTATCAAAGTTAAGACTCTGCCACGCCCCCCTAAAACGGCTCATTCTAACACGCCCCCACATATCTACCTCACCATGTGGAAATATTTGCATAATGCGCCCAAATGATCACGCAAAGAAAGAAGGCGTGGTTTCAGTAAACGCAGTTAGTGTTGAAGCAGC